TTAGGCCGAAAAACTTTTTGGTAGTAACTTGAGAATTCCTAGCCTAGTCCATATTTGGATGAAATCAGAGTCATGTGAGTATAGGGAAATATTGTAATGAATGGGAGATTTAATATTGAATTTGATTGCATGAGTAGATAGCTAAGACATTAAGGAACCCGTACAACTTTACGAAATCAAATTCGGGAGAGTAGAACTCCCAAAACTAATCTTAGCATGAACGGGTAGTTTCTTAGTTTCATGGGTTGAAGGTGTGTTGTGAAATAGGGGTTTGAAACTCTAAATTTGACTCTCTAATTTCGTGCAAGCCGCTAAGGCAGGATTATTCCCGCCGAGGGGGAGCTATGGCGAGATGGGGGCCGCCATAGCGGACCAGACGCAAATTAAGTCAGAATAAACCCCAAAAACATCATTATTCTGCAATTTTCGTTCTTGAGAGCTAAGAGACGAACCATGGAAAGTTCTTGACAGTTTTCCACCTCTTCTAGCACTAAAGTTAAGGATTTCACTCCCCTAATCCATTTTTCGATCCGTAGAACTTTGAATCTTAATAATATATTGTTGGGAGAGGGTTTTTGGACTGATTTAGGTGGTGGGAAAAAGCCCTAGTTGCACCCTAGGATCATGAGTTGGTCTTGGGTTATTGGGTTTGTCATAATCCAGGTAAATTACACCTTAATTATCGATCCCCGTATTGAATTGATTGTTTGTAGACCTAGAACAAGTGGAAAGAATCCGAAAAGGGAAGAATCAAGCATCTTAGCAGGTTTCAAGCTTGTTTTCTAGGTAGGTGATGGTTTGGTTTCATGTTTGTGTAATGTATGCTAGTATTTGTTTCATTGTAATACATGTATGTATGCGAATGTAGCACTATTGATCATCAGATGCGAATGACTATGAACGAATGATTGTATGTCATGAATCAACACTTGATTGTATGATTATGAGAATGTACATTGTGATTGTGATTATGGCTTGTTGAATGGAACAGGTGTTATGTTCCAACACACTAACTTGGATTGGGTGCCACGTTCCGACGCATATATGGGATTGGGTGTCAGGTCTGGCACACTAATTGGGATCGTGTACCACATTCCGGTACACTAACAGTTTTGGTGTGGTTCTATGAGAGGACCATTGACTTGTCATATATGCGTAATTACTTGATATTGAAAATATGGAATGGTACATTGCTCCTGAAATGATAATTGATATTGTATATGTTCGGTATATGTGTGTTTACTTGTTGTGACTACTCATATATGTTGTGCTTACTGGAATAGCCGTGTGATCCTACTAATACAATGTGGTTGTGTACTGATACTGCACTTGCTCTTTCTTGTTGAGCACATGACATCTTCAGGCGGTTATTGACAAACCCCATCTAGGAGATCAGTGATCAATCAAATTCAAGGGTGAACCAGTTCTTTCAGGCTACCATGAGTTCTCTATGTTTTGGTCCACTCTTTTGGGACTCAGACTTTCTAGTTAGATATTCGTATGTTTAATTGGGTTGTACCCATATTCTTTAGACTTATTGAACTTTAGATGGTTTTGCACATTGACTTTCAGGTTCTAGGGATTGTTCTTCCGCATTAGTTGGTAAATTTTATTTGAACCTTTGGAGTTTATGGGAACTCTATTTGATTCTTGCATTTAAACATGCTTCTGTATTTTTAAATGTTCAGTTCTTGGGTTACTTTATTAGTATTAATGGTTCTCCCACCGGGGGGTTAGTGTGGGTGCCAATCATGACGGTCTGGATCGTGACATACTCGAGCGACCACATACACTTTCATGTGCATTTGGGAGCCACAACAAACGTCGTTTCACGGTTATAATATTGATTAATTATAATGAGATCCTCTTCAGAGTCGGCACGCCACCAAGTTTACTCTTGCTAGTTGGGAGGCTAACACCCCTAGGAGTTAGTTGGCTGGTTGGGCGTCTTTAAGTTAATATATTTACGCCCCGGCTTACAATATTTAGCTAGGCGACTGATGCCCCTAAGAGTTTACCGGCTAGGCGGCCCCATTTATTGTGTACTATGGTTCAAGGCCCAATTTGCTCGTATTGGATCTGCACTTATGGTAGTTTGTAGTTTTAGATTTAGCTATCATGTGTACTTTTCGGGATTATGGTGATCCGTTCAGCCTTTTTTAAAACTTGCACACAAGTGTACCTTTTGGGATTATAGGGGTCAACTTAGGTTTAGTTTAGTCGTACTTAGATTTACTTTTGGTATGCTCATATATTTTTCTTCAAATTCTTCTTGGGCCTCTTGTTGTGTCTAGATTCTACCATTGTCTTTACCTTTCCTACTCAGTCTACCTATGATGCCTACTCAATACCTTTGCTTTTGTACTCATGCTACACTCTGTATTTGTTTCGAGATGTATTCCAGATGCAAGCTACCAACGGTGATCGTTCGTTCTAGCAACAAATTTTTGATCAATCACGAGAGTGAGAACTTGACATCCTGGACTTGTCTATCTCCTTCTGTGCATTGTATAGCTAATCTATTGTATTTTGAGACAACTTTATTTTTCGTCCACTTTTGGGACTTGTAATCTTTTGTTAGCATTGCTCTATACTTGTGACTTTCAAATTCTGGGAGGGAACTTTACACATATAGTTTGGGTTGCTTCTACTCTTGTTTTTTTGTTGTTTAAATTATTGTTTTTGCTTTTTTCTACCCTTATACTCGTCGATTTGTGTTACGGATTGGCTTACCTACTAGTGAGTTGTAGTAGGTGTCATCATGACTCGAGGAATTGAGTTGTGACGAATATAAAGAGGAAAATCACATAAGCACACTGGCGAAGAAACTGGCGTCCTGCAAGAACCGACATATGTCTCGTTGGTTAAATGAAAGCTTGAAAGGAGCAAAGCTTCCTCAGTCCTGGCACTGCATTTGGTGTGGTACAATTATTGATTGGTGATCCATTGGTCCCTGTAAAGATGCTCTTGTGAGAACTGAAGGTTGAAGCGAGGAGGCAACTGGCACCCCACAATTTCGGATCGGCATTCCATCAGTCCGATAGAAGTCATAAGATAGAAGTTGAAGGCGAAAAATACAATTATGGAAAGTAGTGCTTCCTTTGGAATGTTCTAAAGGATATAAAAGGTATTTATGTAATTATGTACCATAATCATCTTCCCAATAAGGGATTGTGAGAAGAGACCTCTTTTTGTGAAAAAGTATTGATAGAGTATAGTAAAGAACTTCTTAGCTTGTAGAGGAAGAAACCTCAATTTTGGTATCAATCTAATCTTGGACTTCAGCTTTGGTTAATCAAACTAGCTTGGAATGGATATTTCCTACATGAGTATTGTCTCTATTTCTTGTTTTATAAGTTGCTAGACCCTTAACTTGGAGTGTTTGTGCTAGATAAGGATATAAAACCCCAAATTGGTATTGATTAATCACCTCTAACATTGATTGTATGGCATGGATCAATTGTTGACTTGAAGTTCAAATCTAAAAATCAGTAGTTGCAAACTTTGATTGAGCTCTCTAACACCATTTTGGCTTGAAAAAAAAATGGAGTTTAGTAAGACTCAATAGTGATGACTAGTTGAAATTACTCTATGGGTTTGAGTCAAGAATGGGATAATCGAAGTAATTTCTCATTTAATAATATGAGCTAGGAATAGTGTATCTACTCAAGTATTGTTTGGTGTTTTGTTCAAAAGGGTATTGGAGTTGAAAAGAATCTAAGGGAGCTTGAAATTTTGGGTGAATATCAACAAGTAGCCTAGACAAATCGCTATAAATATATAATAAACAAAGGATTAATTATTTGGGTGGATCTCTTTTAAAAAATAATTACTTATTTTAAATATACTCTCTAATTATTACCATTTATAGCAATATGTAACAATACAATGTATTTTATTAGATTTCTGTTTTCTCTCTCGCCTCTTTCTCCTTTTTATCGCTTGCGTCTTTTTCCTTTTCTCTCTCGCCTCTTTCTCCTTTTTTCTCTCTGTGCGGGGTATCAATTTTTTAAATCTACAATTGAAAGATTTGTTGGGTTCATTGTATAATGTGTGAATGGATAATGGTACATAGAATAAAGATTGGTGAATAAAAAATGTGAAAGTGCTGCAAGTATGACTAGAGTTATTCCATTTATGAATACTCATGACAAATGAATGCAACCTTCCGTATTTTCATGCAATCTTTCATATTTCTAGGATACCTTTTCACATATCATGCATGAATTATTGTGTTCACCTATAGGCTCTAAATATCTAAATCTTTCTCAGATATTGACAAAAAAATTTGAAACAAGTTTACAAGAAGAAAAACACTACATAGTAAGAAAAAAAAAGTTTCTGCTTTTCCAAAAACTTCATGTGTGATTACAAGCCATTGAGTGGTTCGTTGGACAACAAATTTGAGGTTTTGCTATTTGTTTGTCGTGAGTCATTTTATCCTGGGATGATATATTCCATAACCTCGGGTACTTGAAGGGAATAATTTTCTTAAGGAAACTCTGTGAATTCAAAGGACTTGACTCTTCTTCCTTTCATCTTGTTGATTCTATAGTTTTTTTATTTCCAAAATTTATTTAACTTTATAATGTATATTTCATTATTTGTATGAAATTTTTTTGAACTTATTTTGTTGGAAAAACATATTTTACACTACGAAAAGTTTAACAATCTTTAGGAAATTATGATTATCTTATTGTGTAATTGTTTAATGGAACTTAAATGTTTCAAATCTGAAGAAATATATGACAATACTTTATTTATAATTGGTTTCTAGAGATTAAAACCTTTGTGGTTTTATGCTCTGTTTGAACTTGATACTAACTTGGAGAACCTTAAAAGTTCGTTGAGAAAATCAAAGTTCATTCGCTTAATGATTGGGAGTGTAAACTTCATCGTTAAACTAGAAACAAACTGGGAAATAAAGATCAAGTCTTTATTTGAAGACACTAAGTGTGCTTGTCTTTTCTGACAACAATATGACTAATGAAATTGAAATCATGGCTGATACGACATCAAAAATTGGTGCAATGAATATTGCTTCGTCGAGTCGTACAAGTGGTGCACCTGCTATATCATCGGCTGAAAAACCTGGAAAATTCACTGGCATGGATTTCAAGATGTGGCAGCAAAAGATGCTATTTTGTTTAACTACTTTGTACAAAGATTCATCAAAGAATGTGTTCCTGAGTTAGCGGATTCAACTTCGGAAGATGAAAGCATTATGGTTATTGAAGCTTGGAAGCATTCTAATTTCTTATGCAAGAACTATGTTCTGAATGGGCTTCATTGATGACTTGTACAATGTGTACAATAATATGAAAACTTCCAAAGACCTCTAAAATTCTTTAGAAAAGAAGTACAAGACGGAGGATGCCGGATTGAAGAAATTCATTGGGGCAAAGTTTCTGGACTTCAAGATGGTAGATAGCAAATCTGTTGTTACTCAAGTTCAGGAATTGCAAATGATTATCAATGATATCCTTGCGGAAGGTCTGGTGATTAATGAGGCCTTCTAAGTAGCTGCTATGATTGAGAAGTTACCTCTTTCGTGGAAGGACTTCAAAAAATACTTAAAGCATAAGATAAAGAAGATGTACCTTGAAGATCTCATTGTAAGATTGAGAACTGAAGCAAACAATAAGGCCGCGGAGGAGTGGTCTCATGGAAATTCAACAATATTAGAAGCCAATATTGTTGAAGATAAGAAAGGCAAACTCTGCACATCAAAGTAGTCAACCCAAGAAGAAATTCAAAGGTAATTGCTTTAATTGTGGCAAAAATGGACATAGGGTTGCATATTATAAGGCTCCCAAGGAAACAAAGAACAAATATCAAGCAAATGTTGTTGAATTTGAAGATGATGATCTATGTGCTATGCTTTTTAAATGCAATATTGGTGGCAATCTAAGAGAGTGGTGGATAGATTTTGGTGTCACCCGCCATGTATGCACCAACAAAGAACTTTTTGCATCATATGAGCCTACTCAAGGTGATGACATGATTTACATGGAAAACTTGGCAACTGCAAAGGTTGAAGAAACGAGCAATGTTCTCTTGAAGATGACATTTGGCAAGGTGGTGACTCTCAAGAATGTGCTACATGTTCCAGAATTAAGAAAGAACTTGGCTTCTACTCCACTTCTTACTAAAAATTGATTCAAATGTGTATTTGTTTCTGAAAAAGTTGTAATTAGTAAAAATGAAGTGTATGTTGGAAAGGGCAACCTTTGCAAGGGCTTGTTTAAGCTCAATGTAATGGCTATTGCAAATAATAAAAGTTCTTGTTCTACTTACTTGCTTGAGTCGAGTGGTTTATGGTATGAACGTTTGGGACATGTCAATTATAAGACCATGCGAAAACTGATTATTTTGGAAGTATTGCCTAATTTTGAGTGCAATAAAACACAATGTCAAATATGTGTGGAAGCTAATTTTGCTAAGCATCCTTATAAATTTGTTGAAAGGAATTCCAATCCTTTAGACTTGATTCACATGGACATTTGTGATATGAAATCAACACCAACGCGTAGTGGGAAAAAGTATTGCATAACTCTTATTAATGATTATACTAGATATTGTATGTTTATTTGCTATTAAGTAAGCATTTAGGCAATACAAAACTAAATTTGAAAATCAGTTCGATAAAAATATAAAAATGATAATAAGTGATAGGGGTGGAGAATATGAATCTCCATTTGCGGAAATATGTTTGGAAAATGGAATTATCCATCAAACGACTGCCCTTATTCACCACAATCTAATGGGATTGCAGAAAGAAAAAACTGAACTTTGAAGGAAATGATGAATGCCTTACTTATAAGTTCAAGTTTACCACAAAACTTGTGGGGGGAAGTTATCCTTACAAAAAATGAAATACTCAATAGAGTGCCCTATAGCAAGACACAATCTATTCCGTATGAAAAATGGAAAGGAAACAAACCTAACTTGAAATATTTCAAAGTGTGGAAATGTCTAGCAAAAGTCCAATTTCCTATATCCAAAAGGTTGAAAATAGAACCAAACACTGTGGACTGTGTGTTTATTGGATATGCTATAAATAGTAAGGCATGTCAATTTTTGGTTCATAAATCTGAACATCCAAATATTCATGACAATACGGTAATTGAATTAGATAATGCTTAATTCTTTTAACACATTTACCCGTACAAAGCTAGATATGAAGAGTCTAGTTGGGGAGGGGGGGTCTAAACGACCTCAAGATGAACCAAAGGAAAATATACAAATTAAAGAAAATCCAAGGCGTAGTAAGCGTCAAAGGACTGTTTGTCATGCCCCGAGCCTACACCATGGGCGGGATTGGCACTGGAAAACAATTGTTGGCCCCAAGCGAACCCTTGACCTGGTTAGACTCTCAGCGGAAAACTTTAAGCTTTAATAAAAAAAACAAATGCAACTTTACTCAACTGTCTCAAAATAACTTTGAATGTTTTAGAATTAAACGTCCAACTAACCAAAGTGTCAACTAAATTCTTATAACAAAACAACTGAAATGCAAAGACTAAAGAACTATAACTATCGGTCTATGAAGCTTCTAATGCTATGAGGAATGTCGGGACAAGACCCCCGATCATCCTAACAACTGAAATGATAAAGCAATAATAAAGGGATCCTCCGAAAAGCAAAGAGGCTCACCAAATGACTCTGAAATGCTCAACTGGATCAACGAAGTACTAGATGTTAATCCTAGTTGCATATATCTGCATCATAAAAAGATGCATGCCAAATAACATCAGTAAATTGAATGTATGAGCATGACAGGGGAATTCTAAACAAAATGTAAGCTTGATTGGAATCTGAAAGAAATACTTACCTCAGCTTTACTCAACTCAAGGATACTCAACTCAATGCAGAAATAAAACAACAATAAAGATGCAGTTTATATAAAGCATTTAAACACTAGATAACATCTCAAAGTATTGGAAATACCATAATATCTCAGTTGTATATAAGAATACAAAAAAAATAAACTCTGTTTGCGAGATTCTCTAAGCGACAACCATCGCTATGAGCTTTATGATGATACAGCGTCTCGCCCACACTGCCAGAACTGTCCTATAACTTTCCGGAATATAGAACGTCTAAGTGGATCTACTAAGCTATACTTAAAAGCATTAAGAAATCATCTAAAAAGTATGATCCTTTCTACACACGTTGGCTACATGGTTTATGGAGTCTTGAGTTATTATGAGCTCGTCCCCATATTGGTTCTCAATACTACTCCCTAATATATTCAGCTCATATGTTTAAAAACATAACTCTTTGTCTGTGGTTTGAGATTATTTCTCAAAAACTAGCTCAAAAGCTCTCTTGGAAATCTGTGTTTTATCTCTTGTTTGAATGTGAAAACATTTACTCTTTGGGAATACTTAGCTCCCATATAATCTTCAATAGAAAATGAACTTCACTCTAACTCTTACTCAACTCAATGCTCAAGTCTTAAAACAAGTTTAAAACATTTGTAAAAGACTTTGAAAAGACTCTAAGAACTCTCTAGACTTGGCTCTTAACTTTTCTTGCATTTGAATTTACAGATTCAAGTCATGATTAATATTTATGGATGATTTCTAGATATTTAGGATTCATTTAGAGTAGTTATATCCTATAGGAAGTGTTAGTACACTTTCGAAGGACTAAGACGGGCTAAACGACGAAAAATGGGTGGGGCAGACGTCCCGAGAGCACTGTTGGCGCGGGGAACCAACCCCTAAAATTTACACATCCATTTATGGTGCACTGCTGGCACGCCGCCCCAAACCTTCTGGCGCATCGAGGGCACGTTGCCCCTAACCTTCTGGCACATCGGGGGCACGTCGCCCCAAACCTCCCTCAAGTAACCCCAATGATTTTTTCAACCTATTTCCTGATCTTAATTCTACCAAATTCGATTCTTTTTCTCAATTTCTCTTTCGATTCAGTTACCTAATACATGTAACCAAGAATCTAACTCAAAACAACTCTTAAAATCGATAAGAATATCTCAAGAAACTCATCAATCCCATCCAAATTCAAGAATAAAGGCAATTTCAAGAACACAACTCAAGAACATCAAATCTTCAATATTTTAGGACAAAAATATGCTAAAATTAACATGATTGGTGTGTGGGTGAAAGAACCCAATTCTATGTGATCTCACATACCTCTTTAGGGATCAACCCTTGGCAAAACCCGCACGAAACCTTCAAGAACTTGATGAAATCTTGACCTTTCTCCTCTTGAGTTCTTTTCTCTAAAACCCTAGCGTCAAATTTAAGTGTGTAAACTGAAACAATTCAGTTTTGACCCCTAATTATATACTAAAAATGAAATAAATTAATTAGATAAGGAAAAGACTAAAATACCCCTCTTAAATCCGGGTAACTTTCCTTAATTGTACATCCCAACTTTAAATGGGGATATCTCCCTCATACGTGCTCAAAAATTAGCAAACTCGGTGGTGTTGGAAAGAGGATTCCAAGACCTTTCATTTGATATCTTATTTTCCACCTAACTCCTCATGCACTGAAAGTTATGGTTGTTTGAAGTTGACCCAAAACTGATACAAACTTTGCCAAATTTCAGATTTCATTCTTTCCAAAAAAAATGGTTCTTTCTAATGGTGTAACATCTAACATTCAACTCAAACACCAAACAAGCAAATCGAACACATTCAGTATATCAATTAAAGGGTACTAAGAAGAGAATTAGTACCTTGATCTGGAATTTCTCTAGGCTCAAAGAGATAGGGATATATCTTCTTCATATCCTCCTCAGCTTCCCATGTAGCTTCCTCAACAAAGTGATTTCTACATAAGACCTTGGCTGATGCTACCTCCTTGGTTCTCAATTTGCGAACCTGAAGGTCTAGAATCTGAACATGAATCTCCACATAAGATAAGATATCCTTAATACCAATATCTTCAGTGGGTATGATAAGTGAAGGATCTCCCTTACACTTTTTCAACATAGAAATGTGAAACACTGGATGAATTGTTGCTAACTCTTGCGGTAGCTCCAACTAATAAGCTACATTACCAATCCTCTTGGATATACTGTAAGGACCAATATATCGGGGACTAAGTTTCCCCTTCTTATCAAATCTCATAAAACCCTTCATGGGTGAAACGTTCAAGTATACCTAATCATCTACTTCAAACTCTAAGTCTCTTCTCTTGACATCTGTATAGGATTTCTGACGACTCTGGGCTGTTTTCAACCTCTCTTGAATAACCTTTACTTTCTCCATAGCTTGATGAACTAAGTCTGGTCCAATCAACCCAGCTTCACCAACCTCAAACCATCCAATAAGAGATATGCATCTTCTCCCATAAAGAGCTTCATAAGAAGTCATCTGGATGTTAGAATGATAACTATTGTTATAAGCAAACTCAATGAGAGGTAGGTGATCATCCCAATTACCCTTGAAACCAATCACACAAGCCCTCAACATATCTTCCAAATTTTGAATAGTGTGCTCTGCTTGACCATCTATCTGAGGATGAGAAATAGTACTCAAGTTCACCTTTGAACCTAAACCTTTCTGGAAATATTTCCAGAATTGTGTTGTAAATTATGCAACTCTATCTAAAATAATCGAAACTGGAACTCCATGAAGTCTTACTACCTCTTGAATATATAACTTGGCATAATCCTCTACTAAATGAGTAGTCTTTACCGGCAAAAAGTGAGCTGATTTGGTCATTCGATCTACAATCACCCAAATGGAATCATGCTTCCTGCGAGACCACGACAAGCCAGTAATAAAGTCCATATTGATCATCCCCCTCTTCCATTCTGGAATCTCTATATTCTGAGCCCTACCACCTAGCCTTTGGTGCTCTACTTTAACTTTTTGACAATTCAGGCACTTAGCAACGAACTCTGTGATACCTTTCTTCACTATTCCACCAACATACTTCTCTCAAGTCACGGATGGATAGAATATCTGGAGCTATGAGCTTCCTCCATGATCCTCTCTTGGAGTTCATCCACCCTTGGTACACATAACCTACCTTAATACCTCAATACACCATCTCCCCCTTGTTCAAAATCCATTACTTTTTTTTCTTGAACATTTTCCTTCAACTCAAGCAAAATAGGATCTTGGTCTTAATTCTCTTTCACTTCTGACACTAATGATGATTCTGCCCCATTCATCA